ACAATTTGATTATTCATATTAAAATAAATTACATTTTTCTTTTTTATATTATTATGAATTACATTTTATTTATCCCTCTTAACCAAAAAAAATGTTCCCTTTATATCTTTTTTAAACAATAAATAAATCATAAAATAACTCATTATATAAAATGAAAATGTTCGTTTAAAATTGAATTTAACTTGATATCAAAAAATATAACAATTGTCAAAATAAATTGATTTTAAAATAGTTAATACGTTAAAATAAAACGTTAATATAAAATAATCTCGATCCCTTATTTAACACTAAGAGTAACATAAACCACGAAATTTATATAATATACAATATATCGAAATACTTACTATATTTTTATTTATATAACTTCAAAATTTGCATTATAAAAACCATACTCTATTTACATAATCACAAGGTTATTATCAACACAAGTTATAATACATTTCAGACAATACACTTTGAATATTATAATAATGAAACGTTGCAGTCACTACAATGTGATCCTAAATTATCTTTAAAATTCCACCATTACATATGTTAAAAGAATAACTTGAATTATCAATACTTTACTACCAATTATCATAAAAATATATGTAAAAGTAATTATTTATAACATGAATAATTAATACATCTCATCGAGTTTGTTGATAGAATATATAACCTTAAATACAGGGGCGAACTGAGAGACTAGAGGTCCTGTGAGAGATTTCTCGGGGGCTTTGCCTCCCAAACCCCACTTTGCGGGCTACGGCCCACTTTGGGAATTATAAGATTTTATTTGACTAATATACTATATTAATATTTAAAATAATTTTTATCTTTTTAATATATATGTATATGATTATTTTAAAGAAATTACTCGTTCTTTGAGTTGAATGCATTATTCTTCATTAATTTATGAATTGTGATTATTACTTATATTATTTCATTCATTTAATGGCCGGCAACAAGCCAATCCGTAATAAATAAATGATTTAAAATAATCTTCCCATATTTTATATATATTAGGAATAATTATCATAATTCTTATTATTTATTGTAATATATTTACTAAATCTTAATTGTTTTATATATATTTTTATTTTTTATTTATATGGAAGGCTGAAAAAAAAATCAGTTAACAAAATATTTATAAAACAAAAAAATAAAATATTGATAAGAATTAAATAAAAGCTCTGGAATATATTATAATAAACGAAATCTAATAATATAAAAATGTAATATATTTTTTTAAAAAAAAGTAAAATACGTAAACTGTTGTTAATGCAATGGTCTGCTGATAGTGAGCTTGATGCAATAATAATATATCGTTGCGCACGGCAGAAAATCGATAGCATTTGACTTTTCGACAACAGAATATATATGTTTATAATTGGTGCATCCTTTTGAAAATGAATTTCCCCAGCAAAAGCTATACAAATTGAGCAGTAAATAGCTTAATGTCATGATTAATTATAGCAAATGGAAGCCAATTTCGTGGTACTCTATCTTCCATAACTACTCTATAATACAAACGCGATGTATTTAGTCTCAGGTCCACAGATTGGATTGGATGTTGCTGAAAAAGGCAGGTTTTTATGAATTGTTGCATTTAAATTTAAATGAAATAAATATGACTTAATAGGTGAGATCTTTTTCTTTAAATTTGCTGCTTCTGTGCATGAAAAACCAGATCAATTAGAATTTATAGATGTAGGTGTTTGTAATGTAGATAAAGATGAAGTTTCCTTTAAATTTAGGTATAGAATAGGAATGCTATTATCATTTGAAGGAAATGATATCGGAATATTTGGTGAAATTGTCCTATTATGTAAAGGTAAAGAAAAATCTGGAGTCTCTGATCATGTTAAATATGCTAATAATTTTGTGGTTTGGCATGAAAAAAATCAGATGTTATTAGAACATGAACCAAAATTTATAATGGGTGAAGATACTTGTAATAGACTAAATATAAAGATAAATGATTTTTTTAGATGTTATTTATGTGGAATTTTTATGGTATGAACTAGAATGTCAACAACGTTGTAATATCACCTTTTTGGAGCATAAAGGAGAGTCTGAAGAAGCTTCAAGATATGAAGATGTTTTAAAAGTGTGTAGTTGCTATATTAAAAAAAGACCACTTTTGCTGTTTTGGATTTTCACCAGCTATCTTAAGTTCTTTACAAATGAAGTTTTTCTGCTCCACTTTTCTTTTTTTTACTATATATTTTTATGCATGATAATATAAAAAATATAGATTTTAATATAAATTAGAATTTATATAAATTAGAATTTATATTTAATAATGATTATCTTACGTCAGATAAAATGTTGATGTTATGTTTGAATGATAAGATAATTAATAATTAGGGCTGTGTCGATATTAAATATCGGATCGGCATCAATATTTAGCGTTTCCCAAAAATCGGATTGGGCCGATACCTGTAAAAACCCATCCGATCTTTTTACTTTACTTTTCTTTTTTTTGTTATATTTGTGTATTTATTTTACATTAATAATATTTTCTAAATAATTTTTTTTTATAAATGCAAGTGCACAACACCCCTTAAATTATTTATTTTTTAAATAGATTTATAGTATTTTTAAAGTTTTTTTTATAAAAATAGTAAGGAACACCCAAAGTTTTATTTATTTTGAATCTTTTTAAATGATAACGCCAATTTTATTATTTATACTTTAAATAAAAGAATTTTTTAAAATATGGTATCTGAATTATGAAAATATTTTACAAAAGACAAAGATAATTTTGCAAAATGTGTTAACTGCGGAACACGGGTAGGAATAATAAAAAATTCATTTAATACTACCAATATCCGTATACTTTTTTAATTATTGTAGAAATAACAAAATTAAATTAAATGCATAATTCTATTTTTTTGCATAAAAAATATTGTTTTCTTAATTACATTTGGTTCAAAGAGGGGGGTGAAAAATCAATATAAATATCGGATCGATAAAGAACCAATATCGAAATATCAGATCGGATCGGTGAAAAATATGTGGACCAGCACATCCCTATTAATAATCAATATATTTTAAGTAAAGATTCCATTCTAGTCCAGAAAAATCCTTAAACATTTACAATGGATTATGTTTATGAAACAAATATGGACCATTTTAGTTGGGAAGGGGATTAATATTTATTCTTAGTTCTGGGTTAGAATTGTAAATTTCAATTTAACTTAAGATAAATAAATAAAATTATATGAATATGAAAAAATCATAAATTATATTATTATCATTTTGGTCCATTTTCAATAATAATGTGTTTTCTATAAATAAACATATATTTTAAATAAAATGAATGAGTGAATAAATTTTTTTATAGTGCTTATAATTTCACCAGATAATTAAATTAATATTTAATAATTATTTAAATTTCTAATATAAAAAAAATTTGTATTAAAACAAATTTCGATTTTATGCCAATTTAATTTTAAAAAAATTCATTTTTCTTTGCTAAAGAAGCCCCCAAATTTGTAAATTATTAAGGAGATACCTTCAAATTTGTGAAATTTCGAGGCCTCGTGGGAGATTTTCCCATTAAACTTACTGTACGCCCCTGCGTAGATAGCACATGATTAAAAAACAAGTTTCATTTAATAAATAATGTATGATTGCATGCAATATTAATTTGGTCGATGTTTAGCAATATCATTGTATCGTATAGGTTTATAATAAAAATATTAAATAATTTCTACAATCTATTCTGCTCCATTTAATCTAAAAATTTAATTGACAACCCCCTTGATTAATTTATCCTACCTCTACCCTACCTCCTTAATTGCCTACCCCCTACACCATTAAATGTTTACCCCTATAAACGCTTAAAAAATTGTCAAACTACACTACCCTCCCCCCCCCACTATCTCTCCTCATGTAGACCCTGTTTATACCTCATACCCAACTTATTTCGTTTGCCCATTTTTCTCTACCATCTTTTCTATTATTTCTCATTAATCATAAAAATATAACTTTCTAATCCTAGTTCATACTCATTCGTTTGCTATATATGTCACTTTTGTGAAATCATTTAAGCTAATAAAAAATATCCTCCTTAGCATCTACATAACTCCCTCTTCCACAAAAATGTATGTTGAAAGAAAGAATGTAAAAGTTAATAAATTTTTAAACTAAACTTCATAAAACAACAGTAATATAAAAAAAGTTATAACATAAAAATATTAAGATATTAAATATAAGCCAAAGGAAAATCTTAAAAAAAAGTGTATCTTTGTATAATTACTATTAATGTGTTCTTAAAATTACTAAACATTATAATATATGAAACAATGATATATCATTGATATGAAATATAATTTTTTATAGATAATGATAATATTTTTTTTTTTAAAAAAATTAACCTCCTATCTTAAAAATATTTTATAACTATATAGGCTAAGAAAACCAGACTGAAGGCATAGGAAAAAGAGGGCCGAGGCCTCTCCAAAAGAGAGTCTGGGGGTGAAATCCCTCATAAATTTATTAATTCCCCCCCCCCTCCCCTTAGGAAAATCTTACCAAAGCTTCCGCCTTATTTTATTTCATTCCAAGGTCCGTTAACCAAATCCAACTAAATCCGGAAAAACCTCTTACACGGGGACATATCATTTTGCAACCGTGTTATTGTATTAAGCTAGCTCAAGGCAACCTCACATTTCTCAGAGTTAGCCTCTTTCATCTAGCTTATTTTATGGCCAGATACATCTTAAAAAAAATCACTTACTCTGATTTCTAGCTATCTAGATTGGCTCGAAATAAAGCAATTGGATCAGATATATACTTTCCTTATATATATATTTATGCAATAAATTTGAAATAAATATTTTGAAAACCTATAACCAAAATTTATAAAAAGATTTATATATAAATCTTTCTTCTACAATTACTTATATTTTTTATACATCAAAACTTATTATTTATATTTTTACAAGGATATTTAATTCTAATTTTAAAATATAAAAATCACTAATTAAAAATTAATGATAATGCATTTTAGAGTCCTTTATCACTACCTTCGATTTTTGGAGTCGTAACATATGTGTATCCGTTTTTAACTCTAATCTTAATGCTTTATTTTGATTCATAATTATAATAAGGTAATTCAAATCATTAAATTAACAAATTGTATTATTATATACTAAGTTCTCTTAATTATTTTTGAAAGATAATGAAATATCACAAGTTAGGCGCATGAATAATAAGGAATAATTATGTCAAATAATTTGAATAATATAAAAAAAATTCATATTAATACAATTTTATATATATGAAATCTCTGAATATATTATCCATATATCTATTTTCTAGGTAAATAAATCATGAATTAATATTTAATATACACCTTAAATAGTTTAGTGAATTTATATTTTATTATAGTATTGAAAAACTGTTAAAAGTTATCTTAAAGATTAACACTTAAATAGTAATTTTATTATTAAAACTATGAACTATCATATCACAATTATCTGCAAATTTAAATATGATATATTTTTGTTAACTAGATTTTTTGTCCTTTTGCACTGCAATATTAATTTAAATAAATTTTTAACTAGAACATGGATTAGATATTTTTTAAAATATAATCTTTTATGTACAAATGCTTTTTTCTCTTATTTATTTGACATTTAATTATTTTACAATGTTTTGTTTGTCATATAATATTTATTACCATTACAAATTAATTGTCAAAGTATTAGTTTCTCTAATGATGCTTTTATTTTCATATATTACTTTTTAAATATTTATTAATAAATAACAAATACTGTGTTTTGGCAAGATTTAGCTAGCAATTTTGATAAGATCATTTTTGATCTATATGGTGACCATCTTTGAAAGTTTAGCTGTAAAGATCTACAAAGCCTGGCCTGTCTGAAATGTCTGGTCATTGGAAATTAAAAAAAATTTATAATGGATTGGGCAATTTGTATATAAAGATTTTTTGGGTTAGGTTGGAAATATTCTACTTAAAAATTTTTTGAGCTTGGCCAGATTGGGCAATTTATATATATAACAAGGCCTCACAAATCTCTAATTTTTGAAAAATTTTAATAGTCCAGCCCAAGCATTAAAATTTTGATATATTTTTTTAAAATTCTAGATTTTGATTTTAATACTGTTTGAAAGTAAATTACTATTCCTATTTCTTGAAAATAAATTACAATTTGCTTATTATTTTTATTTTAAAAGCTGTCCAACTATAGTATAAAATTTATAAATATAGTAAATTCACAAAAAATTAGTTATTTATAGTGCTGTAAAGTAATGCCAAAAAAGTAATGTTGTTATTAACTGATTTGAAGAAAAGTAACACCATTTGTTACTGTCTTCTAGGGATAACGCATAATGATAATGTGTTTCTTTTTTAAGTACGGTAACACAACATTATTTCTTCAAATTTTTCTTAAAAAATATGGAAAAAACCTATTTTATTGTATTATAAAATACTTTTTTTAGTTATTTTATAAATTTAAGGCAAGTTTTTAATTCACATCAACCACCATTTTTGTTTTAAATTTTTAGTCGACATCATATTTGAATACACATACCATAAAAAAAGGTATAAATTTTAATGTAATTTTTTACAGTTTAATACACATGATGTATAATAGATGCACATATAAAATTTACCAGCCAGGCTGACACGAATTCATTTAAATATATAAATTTATTTTTATTTTACATAAAAAATTCAATATAAAATTGATAAATTTAGATATATTTAAAAAAATTTCTAAAATCCAACCCCACCCAGCCTGAATTTTTTAAAAAAATATTAAGTATGGCCCAGCGCAAACTTGATTATTTTAAATAGAATTAGACCCAAGCTCGGCCTAACTTTGCAGATCTCTAGCACATATATTTATTTATTTCTATAGTTAGTTTTGTCAAAAATGAAAGACAATCAATATAAAAATTCTAAAATATGTAGTTTACAAATTTTGATATTGCATTTATTCCATTTTATAAATCATATCATTTCTCTTGTACAAATTTTTAAGGAACAGGAAGTTAAGAATCCTATTAAATAAAGGTAAAAGAAATGTTTTATATATAAATATATTCTTATATTCAATTCATTAATAGTGTTTAAAATTTAAGTTTTAAGGTACATGTACCCAGATAAATAATGCACACAAATGCAATATGAATTTGAGCTTTTTTGATTATTTTTTTATATTATTAAATGTTCTTTATTGCTATCGATAGTCAAAATGTACATTTCAGAAGATAGTTCTGATTCTAATCTTAGTGGTTCATCAAATGAGGAAATTCTTGATTTAAGATTAGCAGATGTTGATTCTAGTGGAAATGTATTTCAGCTATAGGTACCACTACATTCCAGTTTTAAATTGTGCTTTGATAATTGGTTCTGTGATATTATAACTTCAAGTATTACTCACCCAAAAGGGAGTATTGCTACAGCGAGAGCTAATAGAATTTATAATTACCAGTTTCCAACTGAAAAAGAATTCTAAAAGATGGAGCGTGGATCTTTTATCAAGAAGAAGCCAACAGTAAATGGTGTAGAATTATATGCAACTAAATGGCATTAATTATTCTAAATACGTATATAGAAAGTTACCTTTTTGGAGATTGTGAATGGTTTGATAGTGTAGATTTTTGGAGATTGTGAATGGTTTGATAGTGTAGATTTAATGGATTTGATTAATTTATATCAAATTCACATAAATGGTATCACCGTATAGTATTTCATATAATTGATATGATGCTCATAAATCTTAATGTATAGGCGAGATTTTGTAGCTTTAAAGTTATCGCTAAAAGATCAGATGCCATTATTAACATTTAAAATTTCAATAGGAGATACTCTGTAAATGTAACAAAAATATGAATGCTAATATAAAAAAACCAATATCAATTGACACCAAACATAAAGAAAAATAAATTGGTTACGAAAGTGATTTGTACCAAATATCGTGTATCATTATGTTTTACTATAAAAAAACGATTGTTTTAAATTATTTTATGAAAATTAAGGCAGATAATGGTAAAAATACGTCATTTTTGCCACTTTGAACCCTAATATGTTCAAAAATATAAATGATAGGAGACTAAAATTTTGGCTATTTCTTAACTACACTAACCTTTCTTTGCTTACCAAATTTTAAAAAAATCGAAAGGGGTCGGCCGAAAATCTCATTTTATTTGCTCATTTGACGTATGACTTATAATTTATTATTTGTGTATTATTTTATATATAAAAAAATTATTATGAAAAGATATCTTATTTTTTTGCATAATTTTATTTATATCATATTGAATTCCATATCAAATTACCAAGGTTTCAATTTGACCCACAGAATTTTTTTTAAATTTTGTTTATTGGTAGTATATACTATAACTAAGAAAAATTAATTTCTTGCACCACTTACTCGCTAAGATATAAGCGTTTAAAGAGCGGAAAAATGGTACATTTTGGCAAAATGCACTTCATTAATTTCAAATAAATAAATTAAGTTAGAGCAATAATTTAAATTTTATTACATAGGTTAATATATAATTAATATGACATAAATAAATGTGATCGAAACCCGATCAATACCAAACAATTTTTTTCTTCTATAGATGTATATCATACTGCCTTATATTTGTACAAAATCTAGACTGGGCTGACCGTGGGTCTAGGAGTTATGACCCTTTATATGGTTAAAAATCAAAATTTAATATAAATATCATCCATATTTGGATTTAGGATACTTATGTAATAATTTATTTAAAAATTATGCCTAAATGAAATGCCATTACTTTATTATTTAAAAAATTATTAAGTCGCCAAAAACTATTTGTCCCAAAATCATTTTCATGATTGTAGAGGTTAATGAAGTTTTTTTTATTTTCATATTGGGTAACTGCCCCATCAGAAATAAACAACTTTGGCTACTCTGTCCTTTTTTTAGAGAATAGGATCTTTATTTGAAATAAATAAAATCTACGTGCGTTTTGCTTTAAACAATTTGATATAACAACAAAATTTACTTGTTCAATTAAGCCGTCTTAACGGTAATAAATCAAAAAGTAAATATTTAACTTGATTATTGGTCCAATGGAATCCTTGTGCACGGTCCTGCATTACAAATCAGGTACCCGAACTTTTTTATAATGGTTCAGTTTGTTACGGTTCAATATGTAAAATATTATAATGGTTACGGTTCGGTTCTTAAGAAAAAATTTTATAAAGTTTCGGTTCGGTTCAGCTAAATGTAAAGGTTTATAAAGTTCACTACGGTTAGAAATTTTTTTTAAATTATTTTTATTATAGCAACACCATCGTATAATAATTTTAATTATGAATTTATTAAAATTATTGCCATCACTTAAGTTAATAATATATTGTTTATATAAAATAGATGAAATTAATTTATTTTTATTATAAGTATCTATGAATAATATATAAGAATTATAACTCATTTTAAATATATTATTTGAAAGTAATATATTTTCTAATATAAGTGGATTCATATTGTTCGTTATGACGGTAACACAAATTTTAGCCCCAAAAAGGCCCTTTTAACAGAAATTGTATAGCAGGAAACGCAAATACTATAAGAGCAAGTTTATAAAATTCTGGATATTCAAATTTTTTCATTCCCAATATATAAAAACTGATGATTTTTTAGATAAATATAGTGCAACTAAATCAAAAATTGGTTATTTAGATATTTTGAATACTAAAATACAGGAAATAGGTATGCCTTATTACTATATGAGATGAGGCAGTTAATAGATTGTGGATCAATTTAATAGTGAAAAATCAATACATACTTCTTGTGGATATTAAACGATCATTTAATAATTATAAATAACTACACTGATATGGTAAAATATGTAATACACCACAAGGAAAAGAATTTTAAATAATGTAAAATTATTTTATTATGGCTGAAACCAGGGATGCGAACCCGACAAAATTTTTGCCCGGGTTCGGTTCGGGGTATAAAAAAAAGGTGGGTTCGGTTCGGGTTCGGTTCAGGGAAATATTTTTGAACCCGGGTTCGGGTTCAAGAATTTTTGAGTTGATAAAAAAAATTCTATATTTAAATCATAATAAAAAACTAGACATAAATTTGATATAAAA